TCTCCACAAAGAGATCTCGAGATCGTGGGATAAACCGCACTCGTCCCATGTCTCCAGCCCCAGTGTGGTTGATTACAGCAATGTTTTGGGGGCACGGGACATGGGTTATGGGAAGATGCCTAGTGTGGAGGAGGCTTTAGCTCCTTCCCTTAAAGCCCCGGCGCTGCCTAGTAAGCCCTGCAGAGACACATCTGCTTTAATAAGCAGGGCTTACATGGCGGCAGGTCGGGCTGGTTCATGCCTGCATTCTATGGCGATTTTGCAGGCATATCTGGCCGACCTCCTGAAAGATTTAGATGAGGGGGAGGGGCCAACTCCCGAAGATATTTCAGAGTTGCGTAAAGCCACAGATCTGTCTCTCCGGGCCACTAAAGAGACGGCCCGCGCTATTGGACGCTCTATGTCAGCTATGGTGGCCATGGAAATGCATCTGTGGCTGAATTTATCTGGAATAAAGGAGAAAGATAAATCTTTTTTGCTTGATGCGCCGCTCTCGCCTTCTGGCCTGTTCGGCGACGCCGTTACATTGGTCGTCGACAGGTTTCAGGAGGCGAAGAAGCAATCTGCTTCAATCTGCGAAGAAGTGCAATCTCTGCTGCTAAAGGAGGCTTTAGAACGTGTTCCTCTTTCAGACAGGGAGTCCGTATTTTACAGCCGGTACTTTATAGTTCCAAAGAAGGATGACATGGGCCGATTTTAGATCTCAGAGTTTTGAACAGGTCTTTGAGAAGGTTCAGGTTCAAAATGCTTACAATCCCTGTTATCGTGAGTCAGATCAGATCCGAGGTACTGGTTTGTCACGATAGATCTAAAAGACGCCTATTTTCATGTCTCCATCCTTCCATGTCACAGGAGGTTCCTGAGGTTCGCTTTCGGGTTACCAATATCGGGTCCTTCCGTTCGGCCTAGCACTCTCTCCCCGCACGTTCACCAAGTGTATGGATGCAGCACTGGCTCCATTGAGACTTCAGGGCATTCGCATACTGAATTATATCGACGACTGGCTCATTCTGGCCCAGTCTCGAGAGATGGCAGTTCGGCATCGAGATGTCGTCCTTGGCCACATTCAGAACTTGGGGTTGAGACTCAACACAAAGAAGAGTGTATTGGAACCGGCTCAGAGCACAACGTTTCTGGGCGTGGTGTGGGATTCAGTTACGATGCGGGCACAAATGTCTCCCGCACGTATCGAGTCCATTCTGGCGATGGTGTCCGGGATAAAGCTAGGCCAGGCCATCACTGTAAAGCAAATTCAAAGGATGCTGGGCCTCATGGCAGCGGCATCCAACAGTGGTGGCTAAAAGCCAAGGGGTTTTCCCCCAAGGGGAATCCATTCCGTATGATCAGAGTAACGCGCAGATGCCTTCGTTCTCTAGTAATATGGAAGAAACCTTGGTTCCTGTCCCAAGGGCCAGTGTTAGGAGCATCATGTCACCGGAAGTCCGTTTCAACAGATGCCTCCCTCACGGGTTGGGGCGCGGTCATGGAAGGCCGCTTTGCCAGGGGTCTGTGGCAGGACCATCATCATTCTTGGCATATAAATTGCCTGGAGATGTTGGCTGTGTTCAGGGCTCTGAGGAGCTTCCTCCCAGACATCAAAGGTTACCATGTCCTGATACGATCGGACAATACATCAGTGGTAGCTTATCTGAACCGACAATGGGGACTCAGATCGCGCCCTCTATACAGATTGGAGCATCAGATAATCCTTTGGTTCCAAGGGAAAATATTGTCTATCAGAGCAATGTATATTCCGGGGGTTCAGAATCAGGGAGCAGACATCCTGTCGAGGCAGGGGCTGAGGCCCGGGGAATGGAGACTTCACCCAGATGTGGTGAAGTTGATATGGGAGAGGTTTGGACCAATGGAAGTGGATCTCTTTGCGTCTCGAGAGACGTCCCACTGTCCACTTTGGTTCTCCCTCACACATCCAGCCCCACTGGGGTTGGATGCCATGGTACAGGCCTGGCCGAGGCTACGCCTGTATGCTTTTCCCCCGATCGCTCTGCTCCCGGGAGTCCTGGAGAGGGTCCGTCAAGAGGGCATCAGTCTTCTTCTGATAGCCCCGTTGTGGTCGGCCCGAGTATGGTTTTCAGACATAATTTCACTCCTGATAGCTCCGCCGTGGCAGATTCCTCTGAGGAGGGATCTGTTGTCTCAGGCGGAGGGCACAATATTCCACCCTCGCCCAGAGCTGTGGAAACTGTGGGTCTGGCCCCTGAGGGAGTTCAGTACCTAAATGCTGGTCTATCAGCCGGAGTGGTTGAAACCATACTTAGCTCTAGGGCTCCGTCTACTAGGAGATTATATGGCCTCAAGTGGAATGTATTTTCCACTTGGTGTAGAGAACAGGAGTTAGATCTAGTTAACTGCCCGGTGGCTTCAGTTCTGGAGTTTCTTCAAGATCGTTTCTCTGCGGGTCTCTCCCCTTCCACACTTAAGGTGTACGTGGCTGCCATTGCGGCTTTCCATGCACCATTGAGTGAGGGGCCTCTGGGGAGGCACCAGCTGGTCATTCGTTTTCTCCGTGGTACATGGAGGATGAGACCGACGACCAGGTCCAGGGTTCCTGCCTGGGACCTGGCGGTGGTTCTCGAAGGGTTATCCCTGGCCCCCTTCGAACCTCTGCAGTCGGCTTCGCCTAAGGATCTTACACTATAAATGGTATTTCTCTTAGCTATTACCTCTCTTAAGAGGGTGGGAGATCTCCAAGCCCTGGCAGTGACACCAGCTTGCTTGGAGTTTGCCCCTGGCAGAGTTAAAGCCTTTTTGCACCCGAGTCCGGGCTACGTGCCAAAGGTTCCTACGAATACGGCTCGGTCCACGGTCCTTCAGGCATTTCATCCTCCACCTCATGTGTCGGCAGAAGAAGAGAAGCTTCATTTGCTCTGCCCCGTCAGGGCTTTGAGCGTGTACCTCGAGAGGTCCTCTTCTTGGAGGAGGTCGGACCAACTATTTGTGTGTTTTGGGTCACCTAAGAAGGGACTCCCGGCATCCAAGCAAACTATTAGTAATTGGATTGTTCAAGCTATTACCTCGGCTTACAAGGTGCGCGACTTGCCTTCACCTTTAGCTGTTAGGGCTCATTCGACTAGAGGCATGGCGTCCTCTAGGGCCCTCCTTTCGGGAGTTCCTATCCAGGAGATCTGTGAGGCAGCCGGTTGGGCTACCCCACACACTTTTGTTAGGGTCTATAGTCTGCACCTCCCTAGTACGCCTGGCGCACATGTGCTCTCGTCCTAGCTGAGTGCCTGAATCAGTTTCATTCCGGGGCAGGCCTGTCTTCGGTGCGTGGCCTAGTGGGCATTCGTTCCCCAAAGTGTCGATCTTACGACGCAGTTCGAGTTCCCTCGAAAGGGAACGTCTCGGTTTATGACTATAACCCTTGTTCCCTGAGAAGGGAACGAGACACTGCGTCGTCCTGCCACGCCCCTCAAGGCCTGAGAGCGGCTTGCTTCATCGCTAGGCTAGTATGTGTTTGTTCCGGCGTAGCTTTTATGCATCCGGTTATGCCGTCACATGTTACGTCATGACGCAACACCAATCAGGATTGGAATAGTTTCATTCATACTTCAGAGGCGCACGCTAAGGGAGCGTCCCCAAAGTGTCGATCTTACGACGCAGTGTCTCGTTCCCTTCTCAGGGAACAAGGGTTATAGTCATAACCCGAAACGTTTTATTTGCCATGCCAACAATTTGCCAGCCCTATCACCCTGCTCGTAAAATGTCTGTTTCAAGCGTAGAAGACTTGAGGCAGCTCTAAAAGCAGACTGCTTATCATATTCAGCTCTCAATAATAATAATTCTTTCTCCAATTGTGAATTGCTAATATTTTCAGAATTATTTACTTTCGTTTGAAGGGCACTTATTTTATTTTCCAACTGTAATCTAGTTTCCTGTGCCTTTTTGATTTATAACCTGTGTAACTGATGATATGTCCTCTCAGGAAAGCCTTGAAAGCTTCCCATTTAACGCATGCAGTAGTTTGTGTAGTATTAATTTGAAAGTACTCATCTATCTGTTTTTCTAAATATTTAACCAAGTCTTCATCTTGTAACCATTTATGTTGGAAATGCCGTCTGGGTGGATCTCTTAATAATTTATCATCCTTATAGACCAAACAGCATGGTGCATGATCTGAGATCACAATATTGTCATAAGAGCAGTCAGAAATTTTAGATTGCAATTCTGAAGAGAAGAGAAAGAAATCTATTCTAGAGTATGTCTTAAAAGTACCCGAATGACAGGAATAAGTTCTAATATTCGGTTTTCTCTCTCTCCATATACTATCTAATAAATTTAAATCTCTCATAAACCTATGGATTGTAGCCCTACAGTTGTTATGTGAATTGTCAACCCCAGTTGATCTATCCATTTCTGGGTTTAATGTACAATTAAAATCCCCGCTATCATATGAAGTCCTGGAAGCGTTGAAAGAGTAAGAAATAGGTCATTATAAAAATGGCTATCATCTACATTAGGACCATAAACATTTGTTATATTTAGAATTTCTGATAACAAAAGTCCTTGAAGTATTAGAAATCTTCCCCTTTTATCTTTAGTAATATGTTTTATTTTAAATGGAACCGACTCATGAATTAATGTCATAACCCCTCTAGCTTGAGATGTAAACGATGCCGCATACACAGTGCCCTTCCACCTCCTTCTCACCCTTATACTATCATCAATGAGATGAGTTTCTTGCAACAGTACTATTTTAGCATTCATTTCATTCAGTTTATTCATAACCTGTTTTATCTTTTGAAGACGTTGCAGACCTCTGCAGTTCCATGAAATAAAATTAAGATTCACTTCTTGAGACAAAACTTATGAAAAAAAATAAAATTTACCAGGTTGCTTTGCAATATAAACTATCCTTGCTTATAGGCATAACACATTGGGATGTTAGAACAAACATCCAACACTCTGAACTAACATAACCCCCCTTTCCCCTCCCCCTCCCCCATTTAAGAGGGCATTTCAGATGAACTAGTCCCTATGTGGCTCTTACATTACCCGGCCCCTAATTGGATAGGCAGGAGGACTAAGCAATTACAAACTTAAACACTGAGAGCCAAACAATTTCTAAATGTCCATAAACTATCAACTTATTTCTTATTTCTTCACTCTTCTGACATTGCCTCTTCCAACAAACACAGTTTATTTACAGGCCTTTCCAGAGTGTTGGTCTTGGTCTTTATCTTCACTCTTCGTACTTTTCCAATGGAGTCCGGCAACGTTTCAACAACCTTTCCCATGAGCCAGGAGTTCCGTGGGGAAGAACTATCCACTAGTAGCACAACATCTCCTGTCATGAAGTTTGTTTTTGGCTTTAGACATTTCTGGCGCTCCTGAAGAAGTGGAAGGTATTCACACGTCCATCTTGTCCAAAACAAATCCACAAGATATTGAACTTGCTTCCACCTCTTTCTTGTGTACATGTCATCTTTGTTGAAAATCCCTGGAGGCATGTTGGGTTGAGATTTCAACAGCAATAAGTGATTGGGTGTTAGAGGTTCTACGTCGTTAACATCATCTGAAACAGTTGTAAGCGGCCTGCCGTTGATGATGCTTTCGACCTCACACATTATTGTCAGAAGACAATCATCGTTCACTGCTTGCTCTTTCAAAAGGGAGTTAAGGATTCTTCGCACGGTCCGAATTTGTCTTTCCCAAACCCCGCCTTGGTGCAAAGCGGCTGGGCTGTTGAATATCCACTTTATTCCTTTTGGTTGCAAGGCCTTTTCAATCTTGTCATTATCCAGCAGTTGAACGGCTTCTCTTAACTCTCTTTCAGCGGCCACAAAATTTGTGCCGTTGTCAGAACGCATGATGGTAACTTGACCTCTCCTGCACATAAAGCGACGAATTGCATTAATGCAGGAGTCTGTGTCGAGGCTATCTGCAACTTCGATGTGCACCGCTCTGAGAGTGAGGCAAGTGAACATCACGCCGTACCTTGTAACGGACAGAACTTGTTACTTGTATTGTATTGTTAATGGGGCACTAGTGTGATGTTTTGGGTCACATGTAGTTACAACAAGAGCCACTTGAGGGTGCTATTGCCGGGTGGTAACCTAGTATATAAACACACCTACCATAGAAGAAGAGAGTTCGTTTGGTAGAGGGAAATCCAATGTTTGATTGAACTCATGCTACCTACTGGCTTGTGTTTATAGTCCTTTGTTGAGAACCCTGAGTTTCTGCTCAACTGTAAGTGTGGATGATTTATATTCTTGATGTTGTATTTATTTCTTAAGTTCACTGATGTTAGATGTGTTTTCTTTCTAGAAAGGACTTTTTATTCACATGTTCTGTTATGAACACTGAGCAGAGAAATGGACAGTAAAGCCAAGTGGAAACTCCATTGGCAATGAGGCTACAGCACATGGACAGCATCGGGGCACAGGGAACAAACAATTCACTGGCTACTGTGATGTAGGATCATTTCTCACATTGTGGATAGTTAGATTAAAATCATTGCATCACACTCAAAATTTACCTTGTGGAGTATATGCTCATTTCGTCTTCATCATCATCATCATCATCAGCAGCATCGTCATCATCATCGTCAACGTAACTTCTCAAAAGATAGGACATTTCAGAGTTAAGTTTACTTCATTGAATTGATTCATTGTTGAAGAGACAGAGATCTTGAGAGTGCTTGGTAGTTTGTTTATTGAGAGTTTGGCACATGGATTTATATGTGGTTCATATGTGGTTCAAATAAAAGAGGTTCAATGTTAATTTGTTTGTGAAGATATTTCTTGATCAGTACAGGTTCAAAAATTTCTGTTGAACCCCTCAGAGTAACATCGTTAAAAGAAATGAGGTGTTACAACCTTTTGACTGTACTCCGGCCCCGCTTAACATCAAACGGCCCGAAGAAATCAACACCGGTATTTGTGAAAGGAGGCTTATCTGGCAAGAGCCTATCTTCCGGCAGGTTTGCCATCTTTTGCTCACCAACCTTTCCATTAATCCTGCGGCACACTGTACATTTGTTTATTATCTTTCAGATTGCAGAATTGGCTTGTGGGATCCAGTACCTGCATCTCAGTTGTGCCAAAACATAACTGCGTCCACAATTACCTGTTCTTTGGTGTATGTCTCTTAAAATCAGTGTAGCAACTCTGCTGTGCTTTGAAAGAATTGCTGGATGTTTAGCATTTTCTGGCATGGCAGACTTGTTTAGTCTTCCGCCAACCCTTATCGTGCCGTTTTGAAGAATCGGATCCAATTTAAACAGCTGACTGCTGCGACTGAGCTGTTTACCTTTCTCCAATAACTTGTCTCCAATAACTTGATTTCTTCTCCAATCTGTTGTCTTTGACTGAATTGGATTATTTCCGATTCTGCGACAACTAGATCAAGGTAAGTGACTTCCTTTCTACTGCTTTGAATTTCTTTATTTGTTGTTCTAACTTTGATCTTTCCTTTTCAGTTTGGCAGATCTTTCTTGATATTTCCTTTCTTTCCTCTTTCATTTTCCACAGATTTTTCTTCACCTTTAAAATCCAGGCCACTGATCTTTTTAGTTTATGCCAGTCCGAATAATAGTTGATTAATTTGTCGATTGGTTCCATGTTTTCTTCAACTTTGATCATGTTGACTGTAACTCCATTCTTGACTTCCGGATCATTTTGAAGGCTTTCTTTCCCTCGCACTGTCATGCTGAAGTGATAACAGGAAGCAAACGCGAGTTAACAGTTTTTAATGAGCACACACAAAGTCCAGGACACAGTAAGCCAGATGGTGAATGGTGACGCAGGGACTTCGATGGTCAAATCCGGTGAAGTGAAGACAGACGGTGAGACGAACCAAATCCACATGGAAGACGACGAACAGGAACACCAGGCAGGAACACAAACCAGAAGACCAGACAAGGAAACATCAAACAACGATCTGACAAAGATGAGAGAACAGCGGTGAGTTTATGAAGCGTGGTGAGATGAACTGCAGCTGGTGATGTAATGATGATCAGCTGGAGCGGATCAGGTAATGACAAACAGACACGCCCCTTGCACACGTGCACTCATACAACAACATAAACGCAAGACTAGAAGGAACCAGTGAATACGTCTACCGTGACAATACCCCTCCTCCTAAGAACGCCTCCTGGCGTTCTCAGACTCCCTTACCTGCCGATTGTAATCATCGATAAGGGAGTGATCCAGGATGTCTCTAGCAGGAACCCAACTTCTCTCCTCCGGACCGTAACCTTCCCAGTCCACCAAGTACTGAAATCCGCGTCCCCTCCGCCTAGAGTCCAGAATACGGTTGACCGAATATGTGGTCTCCCCATCTACGAGCCGCGGTGGGGGAGGAACCGGGACTGGCGGATTAATGTGAGAATGAAAAACGGGTTTAATCTTAGATACATGGAACACGGAATGAACCCTCCTGTACGCAGGAGGTAATTTGAGGCGGACTGCCACCGGACTAATAATCTTGGTGACAGGAAACGGGCCAATAAATTTGGGTGCAAGTTTATTAGAAACAGTGCGAAGAGGAATGTTCTTAGTTGAAAGCCACACTTTTTGACCAACGACGTATACGGGAGGCCTTGACCTGTGGCGATCGGCCTTGGCCTTGGTGCGCACCCCCCACCTGGAGTAGAGTCTCCTGGGCTCTAGTCCAGGTGCGGTGCCACCTCTGGACAAAGGCCTGAGCGGAGGGAACCGCAACCTCGGATTCCAGACTGGGAAAAATAGGTGGCTGGTAACCTACACTACACTCAAACGGAGATAGGCCCGTCGCTGACACTGGCAACGTGTTGTGTGCGTACTCCACCATAGACAGTTGTTGGCTCCAAGAAGAAGGATTCCTAGAAACCAAACATCGCAACATTCTCTCCAGATCTTGGTTGGCTCTCTCTGTTTGACCATTGCTCTGGGGGTGAAACCCAGAAGACAGACTAACCGTCGCCCCCAGTAATTTACAAAATTCTCGCCAAAATTTGGACACAAACTGGGGTCCCCTGTCGGAAACCATGTCTATCGGGAGGCCATGTAACCGAAAGACATGATCTACGATCGTTGCCACTGTCTCCTTAGCTGAGGGTGATTTGGGTAAGGGAATGAAATGTGCTGCCTTCGAGAATCGGTCCACCACAGTCAAAACGACTGTGTTACCCTGGGAGGGTGGGAGGGCGGTAATAAAATCTAGAGCGATATGGGACCAGGGTCTCGAAGGCACCGGCAGCGGCTGAAGTAACCCATCTGGAGGTCGATTGGAAGACTTACCAGTGGCACAAACAGAGCAAGCCAAAACAAAATCGTGAATGTCACGAGCCATAAGTGGCCACCAGAATCGTTGCTTGACTAGAAACCCAGTGCGATTTATTCCTGGATGACAAGCTACGTTGGAACTGTGACCCCACTGGATAACGTCAGACCGTAAGCCCTCCGGCACAAATAATCGGTTCGGTGGACACCCGGGCGGAGGCGTTACCCCTTCTAAGGCCTCTTTGACCTTCGCTTCGACCTCCCATGTGAGTGTTGAAAAAAATACGGTTTCGGGTAAAATACACTCGGGAGTGGACGGGCGTTCGGAAAAATCAAATATTCGAGATAGTGAGTCGGGTTTGATGTTCTTAGACCCCGGACGGTATGAGAGAGAAAAATCAAAACGACCGAAAAAAAGTGCCCACCGAGCCTGCCTGGAGTTCAATCTTTTAGCAGTTCTGATATATTCGAGGTTCTTATGATCAGTCCAGACGATAAAAGGTACCTCTGACCCTTCTAACCAGTGGCGCCACTCCAACGCCAACTTGACTGCCAACAACTCTCTGTTACCAATGTCGTAATTGCGTTCGGCTGGAGATAAACGATGGGACAAAAACGCGCAAGGGTGCATCTTGTCGTCTACAGGTGAACGCTGAGATAACACCGCCCCTACTCCCACCTCTGATGTGTCGACCTCCACCACGAACTGACGTGATGAATCAGGGGTGATGAGAATGGGGGCTGAAACAAAGCGGCCTTTCAGTTTCTTAAACACAGTCTCAGCTGTGTCGGACCACCTGAACGCAGTTCTGGGGGAGGTCAAGGCGGTCAGAGGCGCGGCCAGCTGGCTGAAGTTGCGAATGAATCGCCGGTAAAAATTGGCGAACCCCAGAAACCTCTGCAGGGCCTTGCGGGAATCTGGACTTGGCCAATCTACCACAGCCTTAATCTTCTCAGGGTCCATCCGCATCCCCTCAGACGACACGATGTACCCTAGAAAAGGAACAGACTGTGCATGAAAATCGCATTTCTCCGCTTTGACAAAAAGCCCATTCTCTAGCAACCTCTGAAGCACTCGTCGGACGTGCTGCACATGCTCCTGGAGAGATGAAGAAAAAATCAATATGTCATCCAGGTAGACATATATGAACTGATCGATCATAGCTCGCAACACGTCATTGACCAGTGCCTGGAAAACTGCTGGGGAGTTGGACAGCCCGAACGGCATGACCAAATATTCAAAGTGCCCCCTAGGGGTGTTAAAAGCAGTTTTCCACTCATCTCCCTCCCTGATGCGGACCAAATGATAAGCGTTACGTAAGTCCAATTTTGTGAAGATGGATGCTCCCTGCAACCTCTCGAAGGCTGAAGACATCAACGGCAAAGGATAAGTATTCTTTACCGTGATGTTATTCAGCCCTCGGTAGTCAATGCAAGGTCGCAGAGAACCATCCTTCTTCCCCACAAAAAAGAACCCCGCCCCCGCTGGAGAAGAGGAAGGGCGAATGAACTTGGTTGCTAGAGAATCAGAAATGTATTTCTCCATAGCCTCTCTTTCGGGAATCGAAAGCGAATATAACTTGCCTTTAGGCGGAGACTTACCTGGCAGTAAATCTACTGCACAGTCGTAGGGACGATGCGGAGGAAGAGAAGCAGCACAAGACTTACTGAACACTTCCTTCAGGTCCAGATACTCCGCGGGCACGTTAGACAAATCCCCTGCTTCCTCCTGAAACACAGAAACAGGTACAGACGAACAAGCAGACACGAGACAAGACTTATGACATTCCTGACTCCACTCCAGCACAGATCTATGAATCCAGTCCACTCGGGGGTTATGTTGAATGAGCCATGGGTGTCCAAGAACAACAGGTGCCAGGGGTGAGTCCAGAATAAAAAATGAGATGGTTTCCGTGTGGTTGCCAGAGGTGATGAGAGTGATTTCTTCGGTGGATAATGAAATGGTGGGAAGTTCTTGTCCATTGAGTGCGTGAACTGCAATCCGCTGTGTGGGGGGTTTGAGGGGAATCTGAAATCTGCGTGCGAAATTATGGTCCATAAAATTACCTTCGGCCCCCGAATCCAACAGTGCTTGACAATCGTGCTGGAGGACTGACCATCTTAGTCTTACCGAGAGGAGAGTGGAGGTAGATCTTGTCGTGGATGAGGTCTTCCTGGCGGAGATCCCACCCGATAGTAGCCTTATGTTTACTATCGGGCTGGGCCTTTTACCGGACAGTTGTAGGCGTAGTGTCCGGCTCCTCCGCAATAAAGGCAAAGGCCCTGGGACCTCCGCCTCTCCTCCCGGGAAAGCCGAGCTCAACCCACCTGCATGGGCTCGTGATCGTAGATGGGGCTGACCACGTCCCTGCCGCTGGATCGTGGACCGTCGAATGCCTCAAGTGTGCGGGTGGACGTAGCTCGACGCTCGACTCTGGACAGCCGAGCGTCCACCAGCAGGGCCAGGTCGATAAGTCCGTTGAGGGTGGTGGGAAGATCCAGGGCGTAGATCTCCTTCTGGACGTGGTCAGCCAGCCCATGCAGGAACATGTCCCACTGCGCCTCCTCGTTCCATCCACACTCCGCCGCCAAGGTCCGAAATTCATTGGAAAACTCGGAAACTGATTTTCTTCCTTGTCGAAGTTCGGCCAATGCTCTGGCCACCTCTCTTCCCGTGACCGCTCGGTCAAAGACCTGTCTCATCTCAGCGGCGAGGGTCTGGAACGAGGCACAGCATGGATTCTGGTTCTCCCACACCGCCGTTCCCCAGAGTGCCGC